AATCTGGCTGAACTTTGAATGACCTCAGGGTGCCATTCCTGGGCTGCAAACGCATTATAGTACCTAGCAGCGGCGCCCGCTCATCTTGGATATCGACTTGGAAATGTATCCCGCAAAGCATTAACTCTTTAGCTACGTAGCGGACACATTCTAATGTCTGATCAGCAGCAGCTGCAGCAGCGGACCGAAGGCAATGTTGCGGCACATATCGAGCCATCGCACAGAAATCAGAAAAATGAACAAATTTGCATATTTCATAGTATTAGTATGCCCGCTATTGCCTGTCTTATTTGGTTTCAAATAAAAAAAAAGGAGAATTAACGAAGTTATGTATTTTTTTAGACATTAAAGTAACCCGAAACAACGCGTCTCCAAGCGTTGTCCAATGGCCATCATGCGTATCTTCAGTAGGTTTAAATGGTTAACCGCGCTTTTCGGCCGTCCTTCGGTGGGGTGTTGGTATCAGGCGGTGGCCCAAGCTAAGCCCACGGCTGCTGAGGATTGGATTTGGGTTATAAATTTGACTTATACTGGCATTGTTACCTTTGCAGGTGTGAGGAGAGTGTGAACCTTATGGGATAAGAATGCTGTTGTACTTGTACATGGGCTTATTGCTGTTGTTGTTTCTGTTGTTGTTTTTGTTGTTGTTGTTGTTTTTATTGGTGCTATTTATGCTGCAATTGTGTTTATGGTATGATTTTTTGCTACTGCGTTCAGTTTTTAAGGAAATCAGTAGATCTAGATCTAGTATATTGGCAGCATTGGTGCAGAACAGATTATGACACCACAAACTTCCTGCAACGCCTTTCTCACTTTTTTGGTACTTATATAATAAGCTATAATATTACTTATACTTAACCAGATAGCTAGCTAGTTAGAGATTGTTTTATTTTGTTTGTTTGAGTAAAGAGATGTGCTTCGACATAATAATTATCATTTAAGTTCTTTGGGAAAAAGTAAGGCAGACAGAAACAACAGAGGGAAAGCAAAGAAGTAGAACCTACCATTCAGTGGCATCCTCCAACCACCCACCTCTTTAGAGAAGGAGATGGAACAGAACTTGAAGATATAGAGCATAGACAGTAGGGCGTGTTAGTGTTAGGACAACGACTCCGTGCGTTTGCCTGTCCAAGAACAACGTGGTTGGAGTGGATTGAGTAACAGCAAACTTGAGCCCTCCATCTGGAACTCACTTGACTTTGTACGCATATCCGGGGTCTCCACTCTCAGTGAAACTGCTTTTATTGGGTCACCGTGTCGTCATGCTCGAAATACGCTTTTCAAGTGTGGGATATTGGCGGGTGCTCTGGTTTCGTTTGCTATATTTTCCTTTTCAAACATCTATCGGTGCGTTCATATGACCTTTTTCAGTTTCGAGCACCGTAAAACACTTACCAGAAAAAAAAACCTCACCAAAAAACAAACCATCTATCGTCCTTATCTCTCCTCTTTCTTTTTTTTTTGGTATGTTACTCTCTTTGACTCAGTAACACCTCTAATTTACTCAAATCTTTGGCACTTATATAACTAATTTGTGTTGTACGTGCCGTAAAACGCTTGGCAAAACTAAACAAAAAAGCTCTTAATTTGATTTAAGGATGAGGGTTCAAAGCTTATTTCTAGTGTAGATTGATTTGTTGCTGGCAGTTTTAATGAAATAAGGTACAGTTTGGGTTTTTTACAGCTTTCATCGCTGTGTGGTTACTAGATTACTACTGCAGGGTAGTTTATTCTTAAGTATGGTAGAGATTTTTAAAAAATTCAACACTGCTATTCTGCTTTAACTTTAAGGCCATTTAAAAGTCGAAACCTCTGAATATGATATAGATTTCCGACGGAAGTATGCCAAATGATAATTGCCTGTCTCCCTCTCAGCCCGGTAGTCAATGCCAGGCACAGCACACCTCCTTAATGATAGGATCGGTGGGTGTGTAAAAATACATAAAATCACAGGTACACACACACACATACACACACACACATATATAAACAAGCATACACAAATACACACATACACACAAACACACAAGCACACACACATACACACAAACACACACACACATACACACACACACACACACACACACACACACACACACACACACACACCGCAGTAGAAAATCCAAGTTTAAGAACTCCCTAAATGGGATTCGAATAAGGATCTTCCAATCCACAGCTCCAGCACGATATCAGCTGAACTTTTGACGTGCTGATCGATTCCTTGACATGCAAAGTGATAGAATTATGACTAGCTGCTTCAAAAAATATCACCACTGACTTTCCTTTTGTGGTCGCGATATTATGGTGTGGGCACTCTCTGAAAGTCTGACTCGCGATTTTGACCGTTCAAGTAAAAGGACACATTTCAGTAACTGTTTAAGTGATTTAAAGTTTAATCTTATCAAATACGATTAACGTCAGACTTTTCTTCTATCCCCAGAAGCGTCATGAATACTCTACGTGTCCTGAGACACAGAGAGAGAAAGTCGTGGAAAAATCCCGGTCAAGTGTGCTGTTTGTAACACCGACAAACAGTTGGTGGGGCGGACACCACTGGAAGCACAACGGCTTCGCTGATGGACGGTTCGATTATCTTGTTTAAGACTTAGCGAGGAGATTTAATGTGGGTGTGCGTAACAAACTCATTCTCCGACTCGGCAACCGTCGATCAGATCAGCGATGTATTGCCTGAAGTTACTTTGAACATAAGGGAATAGCGCGACCTTCCACACTTATGGTTGGTTGTAGCAGCGATGCGTGTGGTCGAGAGAAGCAGCGAGCTTTCAGACACTCATCTACACTTATGTAATGCACTTTAACCGTTAATTCGCAAGCCTTAGCCAAAACTCGTTACAGTCTCTAGGTACCCAAAGGGCGTGCCCTCAGATTAAAACGGTCAAAGAAAGATTATAAATTCCTTCGTCTTGTCATATCATTAGGGCCGACATTTTACTATTTAGTCAGTTTGGGTAAACTAATAATCTTCTTTTCTTTCCTCTACTGTTTAACTTAGGATCTAAACCTTATATTGATGATCGAGAAGGTGACGAATAAGTAAAATAACAAACCAGCTTCTAGAAAGTGATTTTTCTTTAGGTGGCTTCAAAATTTTATATCTTGAATTTGTTCCCCTAACATTCAATGTTGATAAATTCGAAACATATATTATTCTCATTTTTTTCAATCTCCAAAATCAGAAAATGATTACAATTGATTTGATAAATCGTATTATTATAAATGTACACTACGAATACATTTTTATCAGTAGGTTAGTCAGTAAGGTAGTCACTTCATTCCCCACCTCTCTCTGACCGCGCAATCGAGTGAAGTCGACCTCGCCATTCAGTCCCATCTGATAGCACAACGTGACAGAGGATAAGTGTACATTTATTATGTGCACGACGCAAAGACGTTTTCGGGTAGCTAGGGCCAACCTGTCCCCCCCCCCAAAAAAATACCCCCCACC